GGCTTAGTAATAAAAGGTTTACAAAACTCTTGGGAGTCCACCTCTCTGATGAGGCATTGTGAAAAAAGCAGTTGTGTCTTCCTCCTATCATTCTATCTTCTTCTCTTGGGCACTTAAACATCCTTTCAGCTCTACCTAATCCACCCACTGGGCTGTGCATCACCCACCCATTACCCACGGTTGGACATGACCTCAAGCTCACCCTCTCTTGAAGCCGTATCTGATCCACAACCTTCCAGATTCATTTCTCCTTTGCTTTGGTTCCCTCTTTAGATTCTGACATGTGTCAGCAGCCTGTCCGTCTTAGCCATCATCTACTGCAAATTTCATTTTAAATAGGAAGTGCCAGAGATTAACGATGGTACTTAGTGGAGTTTGGTGATGCCGAGTTTTAGCCTTACCTTTACAAGAACCATCCATGGTGCCAAATCTATCTCAGAGATAGAGTTTAACATGTCAGATAACTCCTGTAAAGGTCAAACTAAAACCTGGGGTAGATTCACCACCTCATTCTTTTCAAATGAAGAATTTAGCATTTCTAGGAGTGAACCCTCTTCCTCTCTTAGCACAATGTTTGGGTTTCTGTGGAAGCTGGCTGGACAACTCAGTGAGTTATCTGGCTGTAGAGCCAGAGGTTGGGAGTTTGATCCCCCCCACACGGTCTCCTGGGAGAAGTGCCAGCCTGGATGGCCTTGGGCTCAGTGAGTTATCTGGCTGTAGAGCCAGAGGTTGGGAGTTTGATCCCCCCCACAGGGCCTCCTGGGAGAAGTGCCAGCCTGGGTGGCCTTGGGCCAGCTGCGCAGGAGTTCCCGGGCACCCCCAAAAGAAGGTAAAGGTAAAGTATTTCTCAGTATTCCTTATCTAGAAAATGCTGAAAAGGAGTTCCAGGATGCCCTCAAAAGAAGGGAAAATTAAAGCATTTCTTAGTATTCCTTATCTAGAAAATGCTGAAAAGGGTCACCATGTCAGAACTGACTTAATGGCCCATGATGATGTTTTGGGTTTTTATCAGATTTAAACTCTTGAGTTGGAGGCACAGCTATCTGTCTTCAGCCTTTTCTCCTCATGACCACAGGCCTATGAGGCATAAAGTATCCCACACAGCCCCGAACTTGGTGTGCTCCTCCAGAAGCTTAGGGTGTGAAGGAATCTTGCCAAATCTCATGCTCTTGCAATCGCGACAGCCTGTCAAAAGTTGATCAACCCCATGAACTATTTTGTTGGTCTCCAGCATAAAGGTGAGCCTTTGAGGGGTTTTCTTTTCACCCAGGTCTCTACAAATTGTGCAAAATGGCTCTGAGCAAAACGAGATTCTTCTTTTGCATGTCGAGTAAAGCAGGCCCACGCAGCATGCGTTGAACAAAAAATGACTGACTGGCCAACAAGATGAAAGGAACCCATCCAGTGCTTCAGCCAGAAACTCCGTGCAGATGGGAATCCTGAAGTAGTTGCAGCTGATAGACTCCTGTCCCCCATGCAAATGCTAACATTTGAAGTAAAAGGAGAAGAGCTGAAGTGGATTTTGTCCGCTGTGAAAAAGGGGCTCAGGTGGCCAAGGTGTGTCTGGAGAATTCTGGAAGCCATTGTCCAAAGAAGAGAGTAGATTTTCCAAGCTTTTGCCTTGAAAGTGGCAGCTGAACCTGTTTAAAGTGGGAAATGTCCTTCTCTTCAAGTGAGAGCCTTCCGTCCACTGACCTCATGGCACCACGGATGGTTCTCCTCCTCCATGTGCCATCCTGTGAAGTGGGTCAGGAGTCCAACTACCCCAGTGACTTCCATGGTTCAGTGGGGACTCAAAGCGAAATCAAAGCCCAGTCCAACATTCTAAACACCACCCTGGTGATGATTATTGTCTCTCAGCTTAATGGCAGAGAATTAAATGAGATAAAACATTTTCTTGCTCCAAGCTCTTGAAATTACTTGTGAAATAAATTGCCATATCTGTAATGACAAAGGTGTCCACCCAGGAAATCTGATGGCGCAGCTTGTGCTTCTCCCTCCCTGTCAGTTATTCAACATGTGGAATGGTAATGTTTATCTGCATTGTAGATTTATTGCTGGAGACTCCAGTTTTATGAATAATGTAGGAGTGGGAGACCTTTCCCCCACTTATTCATGTTCTGAATTTTGTGCAGGAAAATAATTCACCGCTCGCTGCACTTTTGTCTTCCTGTCCTTATAAACAAACCCCCTTGCATTGTTTATGGACGTACGCTTACTGGAACAGTATCACCAGCTCAAGTTAAATGCTCGGCACCCTCTGATTATAAAAAATGAACCCAGAACTGTCCCTGGACAATTTCAATCAAGATTATTGAGAAGGAAGGTGGACCACAAAGTGATATGAGTTTCGGTTTAATTCGCTGGAAATTAAATACCATTCATGCTCCATACCAATTGTGAATGAAAGCATTGCAAAATGAAATCTGAGGCTGAGGTGGTGACGTTGATAAAACTGCATCGTTCACTCATCGCTGGGTAATCACTCAGCTCTGAAAGTGAAGCTGGACAACTCTTTGGGGTTAGAGAGCTAATTTGCCTAATGTAGATATATGCAATTAATTGATGTAATAGCTACATTAATTGGCATCCTAGCCAATTAACTAGCAGGGTTGGTGACTAAGTGGAACCTCCTCATTTTAATGCAGTATATCCCTGTACACCCACAGCAGGGAACCAAAAGGGAAATTCTTTTCCCTTACAGTGGGGTGGTGAATTTCCTACAAAGGTTTGGGGCCACTGCTGGAGACAGGAAACTGAGTTAGTTGAATCTTTGCTCTGATCCACTACAGCTGTTTTTACATGGGTAAGAAAAACTGGGTGAGTCCGAAAGCTCAGCTGTGATTTGATACGTAGGACTGCCTTTTAATGGATCCATTGCATGTAGATTACAGATCACATGTTAGAGTGCAAAGGATACAAAAAGCAGTTCCTAAATTTTTGCTGGTTCAAACACACTGACATCCTGGTTCTGTTCATCATACATCCACCAATGATTACCTTGGCATAAAAATGCACCTGTGCACAATTTCTATCCTTTCATCTCCTGTGAACCTCAAATCGTAAAAGGGAGAAGGGGACGACAGCGAACATGGCTTTCTAAGCCAGTCTTACGATTTCTGCAAATTTTTCTCCTGCCACGAATTCCCTTTCTCCTCTCTTATCTTCATCCTGCCTTGATCACCGCCGTGCCGAAGGGCTAAACCCAGAGCCAATGACTCCGCCGTCATGTCTGAACAACATTTCTGCCCAGGGCGTCCTCCTGCCTGTTGCAACACGGAGCCGACGTCATCCTGTAATTACACGAAAAAAACTGTTAGTGTTGCAAAAGGCACACCCTGCGCAGGGCAGGGCCCTTTGCTTCAAAAGCAGCTGTATTTGGAAATCAGCCTCTCTCATCCAGTGAAGGACTGTGTCCTGATGAGAAGGGGCTCACAATTCCCCCTGCCCCTCTTGCCCCAACATATTGACGGAAACAGATTTGCAGCTCCAAGTTTTTAAATGTGTAGGTTGGTGGGGGAAGGGAGAAAGATAGATTTTGAATCACTTTTCAGGGAATGCAGCAGTTAACATTCTGTAGTTATGTTGGCTGAGAGCTTCAGAGATCTGTATTTATTCTTATTCTTATTCTTATTCTTATTCTTATTCTTATTCTTATTCTTATTCTTATATTCTTATTCTTATTCTTATTCCTACTACTTTTCTAAGCAGTTTGCACAATCTCCCATTTCTGATCACGTTGCTTTTCTCCTGATCCCACCTGTGTCTCTTCTCTGTTTTATGTCAGGTTGTAACAATCCATGTTTTCTTCCCACAAGGAGAGTTGAATCCAGTTTTTACACATCTTTTCTTCTTGTAAAAGTGGGAAGGCTGGGGGTTTAGTCCCTGCTGAGTGATATCTTTCATTGTACGTTGGTGTCTTTTTGTGTTCCTGTATGTTTGTGCTTCTGTGAGCTGTTCTTGTTGTTGTTGTTCCAACTTATATACCACCCCATAGTAGTAGAGAACTCTCTGGGTGGTTAAGAACACAATTATGCAAACAGCAATGTGCCCCCCCCAGCAAGCTGGGTGCTTCTTTTACCAGCCTTGGAATGACAGAAGGTTGAGCCTACTATCTGAATCTATTGGGATTGAACTCAGATAATGAGCAGAAGTTTGGCTGCAATTGTTGTTTAGTCATTAAGTCATGTCCGACTCTTCGTGACCCCATGGACCAGAGCGCGCCAGGCCCTCCTGTCTTCCACTGCCTCCCGGAGTTGGGTCAAATTCATCTTGGAGGCTACGATGACCCTGTCCAACCATCTCGCCGTTGGCTGCAGTCCTGCAGTTTATTTTATTTATTTATTTATTCATTGTTTGATTTATATCCCGCCCATCTGGTATATTCTACCACTCTGGGCGGCTTACAGAATATCAAAATAATTAAAAAACATAAAAACATTAGCATACAACAATAACAAATACTGCAGGAATAAATAAATAATAAATAGCAAAGCAAAAGAAATCAGTAGTTGACAGGAGGGAAGGCCTGGATGTACATCCATGTTTTCAGCTGGCATTTGAAAGTACCCAGCGTTGGGGCCTCACGAATCTCCAGAGGAAGGTTGTTCCAAAGGCGAGGAGCCACCGCCGAGAAGGCCCGACTTCGAGTCCATTCCCTCTGGGCCTCCTTCGGCGTCAAGATCCTCAGCCTCACCTCCTGACTCGTGCGGGTGATCCGAGTAGATCTTGGTGGGAGCAGGCACTCCACCAAGTATCGAGGTCCTAAACCGTTTAGGGCCTTATAGTTTAATCACTGCCCCACACAGGGACAATCCTTTGACCCACTCCGACTGCTGTTTCAAAGTGGGGCTTCTCCCAAACTCATGCTGGCTACTCCTGTGAGACTCCCAGGCTCTGTGGGTCTAGCCAAGCTGCCTAAGAGACGGGGCACCTCGATGAATGCCAGGGCAGGCTTTGTGCCGTGTGATCTCATGGCTTCCTTCCTCTCCTTCCTACAGACTGAACTCTCCCTCCAGAAGGAGCAGCTGCAGCTCAAGATCATAGAGCTGGAAGATGAAGTGGATAAATGGCACAAGGAGAGAGATCGCATCAAGGTGAGAATGGCATGCTCTTCCTCCTTTCCCCCTCTTCCAGAATCCTCTCCAGTCCTTCACCTTCTATAATGGTGTGCTTTCTTTCTTCCCCCTTGGGCGCACCCGCGTCCTCCTGCCTTCCTCTTTCTGACCCTCTCCTTCTTTCTTTCTTCCCCCTTGGGCGCACCTGCGTCCTTCTGCCTTCCTCTTTCTGACCCTCTCCTTCTGTTCTCCCGTGTGGTTCTTTCAAGGGCTTACTCTCACCCTCTTTGCCTTTTGGCCTCCGGCTTGCTTTCCTTTTAGAGTATCTCTTCCTCTGGGCCTGATTAACCTCGTGAATTGGGGAAAAAAACAGTGCCCGCGTCACGGAGCTGGCAAGAAGCCCAGAATGCACAACTGGGTCTCACACTCCGGGGACGACTCGAAGCGTTCATTTCGTGTGTTGGTTTTGCCAAAGATTTTGCTTTATCTCACCTGTCAGAGCTTAGCCCTGAATATCTGAGGGAGGTTGTTGCAAAAAAAAATAATAAAAAAAAATTGATGCACAACAGAACATGCAAAGGCTGCTCTCTTTTTTGACTTCACAGAGAAAACACCTGAATATGTAGGGACCTCCAAGTGCATCAGTTTGTCCAAGCACTAAATTCTTTACACTTTGTAAAGTCAATCACAATTCAAGTTCATGGAACAGCTTCCTTTCAATACCCTCCTCTTTCAATACACTCTTATCTCCGATCAGTGACTGGAGACAGCAGCAGCATAAATTGCTGGCCAGTTGGTTTGAACCCCTGGAAATCATATCCGACTTGGTAGTCGGAATGCTCATGCCCTGCAATACAATATGTAGCTTCAAACATAGCCCTTGTGTCTGGGTGTCCAGAATGTGGGTAACCATGTTGAAATTACCAGCTCCCCCCTGTTCCAACATGCCTTTCCAAGAATTGTAGAACGGTTCAATGGTTTTAAGTCTTTGGCTGCAGAGCCAGAGGTTGGGAGTTTGATTCCCCCACCGGGCCTCCTTGACAGGGGCTGGACTTAATGATCCAGCTCCGCAGTTCTAAGACTCTAAAAGACATAGTAAGATCAGTGCAGCATTTGCTGGGCTCACTGTATGTACGAATGTGTATGAAGTTATTAGTTTACAACCTTGTATCAATGGAAGCAGTACGTGAGAGAATATGGCCCTGTTTTAGGTTATTATGACCTATTATGAGCTTTTATTTCTGCGTTCATTTCTTTGCAGGTCAAATCAGGTTGTAAAGCGGTTTTTTGCAGTTAGATCTTTCTGCAAAAAAACACTCATTTGTCCCCGTTCTCTCTGTGTGTGTCTGTAGAACTTCACAACCAACGAGAAAGCTACCGTGGACCAGCATTTTAAAGAGCTGATCCGTGACCTGGAGAAGCAACGGGAGGAAGTGAAGGCTGGCTTGGACCACAGAGAGAAGGTAGCTGTGGAGAACATCAAGGAGATTGTGGAAGAGCTAGAAGACAGGGCCAAGCTGCTGCAGGAGGACAAAGAGACGAGGGACCAGATCGGCCAGATCAGTGACTCAGTGCTCTTCCTGCAGGTGAGTAATTGGCGGTGCTTATACCCTTACCCCCAGAGCCTTGGATAAGGTGATCAGAGGGCAAAGCCGCTGCATAACCGCAAGCTTATTTATTACCAGAGTCATCTCCATGTGTGTCATGGATCTACTTAGTAGTCAGCATATTGCCAATATACGTATATGTCTGTGACTCCAACAAAATGTCTTAACTGTTAGAGCAGTACAACAATGGATCCCAGGACCTTGGGAGGTGCTGAGGGCTCCAGACATTCAGGAAAAAAATTGGACCACTGTCTGTCAGATCTGCTTTGATTTAGATTCCTGCATTGAGCAGGGGGTCGGACTCGATGGCCTTATGAGGCACCTTCCAACACCATGATTCTATGATTCTATAAAAAGCTAAAGTTTTTGACCTGGTACGTTATGCCAATGGAATGGTTATGCTTACACTTATATGAATAATTTCTTCTATCAGCAACGAGGAAGAAAGAAGCTTCCACAGTATTGCCCTCAGCCAGACTCTAGATGTTCTGCTTAATCTTCTCAAGAACTCCCCAGCGACTCACCACATGCCTTAAAGTGTATTTTCATTACCGTCATGTTAATTAACTTGCACCCACTGTCTTTCCCATTTTGAACTGTGTTCCTGTTCGGAGAATGAAAAAAAAATTAGAAAGCACTTGTGGAACCAAAGAACGGAAGAGACACTCATCAGGAATATGGTGGAGCAATCTTTGTTATTAAAAGGCCCAGCACATTTTTGGACTGTTAATGTCTGCCGAAAGGGCCCCTGGTAATGATCATTATGTATTTCCTTTGTCCTCAAGTAGTCCTGGAGACCCCTTTGAAGAGCAATTTCTGTGGAGCGAACCTTTAACTGCTGGAGAAGAAATAAAAATGTTAACAGGGGGAAATGAATTGGAGATTCTAATAATGAATGCTACGCAATAATATCTTGAGACATGTTATGTTCCACATGCATGTTTACATGGTGCTTTCTTTTTGTCTCCCTGCTGTTGCTGTTGCTGTTATTACAATTGCTATTATTATTTATTCCACCTGGCAGGAGTTTGGTGCTATGATGCGGAGCTATACCATCCCTCCATCTCTGCCTACGTACAGCATCCTGCTTGAGGGGGAGAACATGAGCCCGGCTATGGGACTACTTAGAGATGACCTCCTGAACGTATGCATGAGACACGTTGAGAAGATCTGCAAGGCAGACCTGAGCAGGAACTTCATCGAGAGGAACCACATGGAGAACGGTAGGTGGAAGCAAGAGAAGGCCCACCTCTCTGTCCTTAAATGTCACCTCCTCGTTGGATTCGGTTCACAGCCAAATTCACAATTTCCTGCATCACATCTGAGAAAGACCCTTTGTTGATTTACTTCTAAGGCTCCTCTCCTTCCTTTAACCTATGTTGTCCCAAATGGTCAAATATCTCTTAAGGACCATCAATCTTCCATGTCAATCTTTCCATACACTTGAATTCCCAACTTTATGCTTCCCTAGCCCACATTCTGAGCTATTGTGGATGGTTACACAGAAGGAGGTTTTCTTTGGCATCACCTCCCCAAGGATTTATTTATTGTTATTTATTTTATGGATTTGCATCTGGGACTTTTTGCAGATGTGCAGTCTACTTCCTCAAATGCTGAAAGAGCAGTCATGGAAGATTTCTCACTGGGAGCGTTGATTGGCCTCCAGATTCCAGAATTCTTTTAATTCTACCCTCGCTGGAGGGTTGTGCAGATTCTGGTCCAGAAAAGTGAACTTTCTGAAGATAAGAAATGGGCTAGGTATCCATGAAAGCTCTTAACACAATGCGTTGCTTTTATTTTAATTATTTTCCTCCCACTTCTGCTATACGTCACTGTTGCCTGGGTTGGAAAACAGCTCAAGGGAAGTTGGATACTTCATGAAACCACCCACTGTGTTCCTAAGAGGGTAGGAGAGGCCTTTTGGTTTAAAAGAGAGAATTTGTGATGAGCATCAAAGGGCTGCCATGGGGTGTTGTGCTATCTCACCAAGGCCTTGGGGGTCGTGATTCTCCCACATAGGCTGTCATGTGTATATATGGATGTACACTGAAGAATATGAAAGCATCATCTCGCCCATGCCTTCAGTGCTTCTCTGCAAACTGGAGATGAGACTTTGCCACAAGGAGCAAAAGCAAAGCAATAATTCTAGCAGCAACCAATCCTGAGAACAACAACGAGGCCTTCCTAGCTCATCAGTTGTGGTCCTTGGGATGCAATGTGTGTGTCGTTCAGGTCACGGGACTGGCAAGGATGGGGCAAAAAGACGGCTCCCCATCGCCTTTCCATTTGCGAACGGAAGATGAAGTCGTGGAGAAAGAGATTTCTATAACAGGACAAAGCCTTTGATGTGGCTCTCGATTAAGGTGTAAACCCCAGATCCTTCTCATTTCATTAAGATCTTATCCAACATACCGGTTTATTTCTTGGCAAAGAGGCTTAGACCTCTTGGTAAGCTTCAAATGCGTTGAAAAGCCGCAGACATGTTGGGACACTTGAGTGCGATAACCAGATGATGGGAAGAAGCGGAGCAAACAGGGAAGAAGGGCAGACACATTGCTGAATAAGATATGCCTTAGTTTCCTCTGCCAGGATTTCTGCATCTCCAGAGCTTAAAACAGGAATAGAGTCAGATGCTAGTTTCTTCCTACATACAAATCCACCACCACCACCCCACTGGTGAACTATGGTCTGCTAAAGTGTGGTTTCATGGCAGGAAAGGTTGCCATTTGGACCTCACGTGGGGAGGTCCAACGTGATCAGTTTCCCTATGATCATGCGGCTTATGGGGATTTGTGCTCAACCTGATCTACCCAAGCCGGATCTTTTTGGTCCAGCTGTAGGACTTCTCCTTTTGGAGGCTGCGCTGGAGCCATTCCCTGGAAGACAGAACGGTTGCTTTAAGGGCTCTCGCTCTCTGGAGGATTGAAAACCTTCCCATAGGCTGATTGCACCCCTGCCTAGGTGCAGGATGGAAATCTTTCTGATATTCCTACCGTGCCTGTATGTTATCCTTCCCAACATCCCCAGTGATTAGCAATAACTTAATTCGGAGGAATACATTCAAAATGTCTTGATAAGGAGACTAGTGGCTTCTATGAAGAAAGAGAATGTGGATACTCTGTTCACAAATTTCCTTAATCACATCCACAGTTACTTGACTCAAGGTGACTGCAGCAGCAATAGCTTTGTATGTTGCTTTAGTCTTTAGATCCATTCCCGACTTCCTCTGAGTTGTGACCCCTTTTATATTAGCCGAGCAACCTGCATACCTCCCCATGTTTGCTTTAAAAGGCAATTTTAATGACATAAAACCATCCCTTCTCTGAAAGTAGAGGCTTCTTTCTCCCCTCAGGGGCCTGTTTCTCATACATCCACATGCACGCTAAGTTTAATATCCCACTCTGAAAGGTCAAGGAAGAAATTATTTAAGGAGGGGCACAACACATATAGGATGACCTGCGGCCCCAAAGAAAACACAGCCCCCAGGTTGGGAAACACTACTTTAGAACAATTATTTAAGAGAAAATGTCATTTTAAGTAGGTGTAGCTTTCCATGATCTAGAATCCAGTGATTTAGTATTTCTGGTGTACTGGACAGACAATTATCTTGGCCAAGACTTCAGCCACTTCCTTTCAACCCTCAGCTAAGCTTCTGAAAACCACCAAGTTCTCTATCTTTTTAGGAAGTCCCATACCCTGGTTGGGAAAAGGAAATGTGCGTCTCTAACCCAAGCCTTCCCCTGCTTTCTCTGTAATTGATGTCTTATTTTGAGAGAGCTGCGATACTATTTTCACAGCTGGTCACGTTCCTGGGCAGCTGCAAAGAGTGTTACTAAGTGGTCGCTTCCTTCAAGATGAGTCGGAACAGCAGAAGTAATGCATGAGTATAGGTTCTCTGCTGGGATAATAATCATTGTTGGCAGGTGGCCATAAAGTATAGGTTAGCTCATCAAATGGTGGCTTCTGTTAAGCATGGCTTCCTCCCAATCAGCAGGACTTCTGTGTGGGGGACTTATTAGACCACATAGGATACAATCTTGTAGACACCTACAATTGAACAGCTGATCTGTTCTGGCTTCCCTGGTTTGATGACAGATCCCATGATAGCAGCCGTAGAAAATAGAGACCTTGGCTTCTCTTCATATTCAGCTGGGCACATTCTTCCCACCCAGTCCAAAGACCTTGACCAAAGCGTTCTCTGTTTCTTCTTCCCCCAATGGACCATCCCAACTGTAAACTTTAGACATCTACATGCAGATGGAATTTCATCTTGGCTTAAGAACACAAGAGTTCCTATGGTGGATCGAGTCAACATTCAGTCTAGCTCTCAATGTTGTTTCCCAAGAGGGCTAGTTAGATAAAGAAGAAACGCTGACAAATCAGGGCATGTATATAATTGCTGCCCTTTCTTCTTCTTCTTTGAACATCAGATGCCCTGAGGTATATTGCCTCTTAAATGGGAGCCCCTTAGTTAGCTGTCACAGCTGATGTCTGTTTGCTCAGGCAGACTTTGATCCATCCGTGTCTTCTTGCATGTCAAATGCTTGTTGTTGTTTAGTCATTCAGTCGTGTCCGACTCTTTGTCACCCCATGGACCAGAGCACGCCAGGCCCTCCTGTCTTCCACTGCCTCCCGGAGTTGGGTCAAATTCATGCTGGTCGCTTCAATGACCCTGTCCAACCATCTCGTCCTCTGTCGTCCCCTTTTCCTCTTGCCTTCACACTTTCCTAACATCAGGGTCTTTTCCAGGGAGTCCTCACGTCTTATGAGATGGCCAAAGTATTGGAGCCTCAGCTTCAGGATCTGTCCTTCCAGGGAGCACTCAGGGTTGATTTCCTTCAGAATGGATAGGTTTGTTCTCCTTGCAGTCCAGGGGACTCTCAAGAGTCTCCTCCAGCACCACAATTCAAAAGCATCAATTCTTCAGCGTTCAGCCTTCTTTATGGTCCAGCTCTCTTCAGGGATATTAGCAGGAGCCACTTCTGTATGAACAGTGAGATTTAATTAGATTGTTTAACCAAGCCCCACTGCTCCCAAGAGGCTCACACTAGTTCATTTGCTGTTGCTACTATAGCTGTACCCTTAGTCTGAATTGTAAAGGAGCTGACTAAGGTGCTGAACCTACCTTTGGAAGAGGGTTCAGAACCTTGCATGCTTCCTGTAAAGTTTGGAGAAAAATCCAGAGTGGCTCCATCTCCTGACTGGCACCAGAACTACCATCCTTTATTCTAGAGCTCTGATGACCACATTCAAACAAGCAGTTATTTCCATGGTCTTGTCCTTATCCCATTGTAAACATGCAGATATGTATCCCCAGTTCAAGTTGCACCCAAAATAACCTTGTGGGGATTTGTCTTTATAACCTAGACCAGGAATGGGTAAAATGCAGTCTTCTTCATACTGATGGACTATGATCAGCCTTAACCAGCATTGCCAATGGTGATGATTTATGGGAGCTGCAGGCCAACAATATCAGGCCACTTCTGGTCATGACCGATGTCCTCTGACCCGGTGCCCTCTGTGGTTTCTGGAGATGGTGGCAGCTGTAGTCCAGTACACTGGAAAGATGCCAGGTTAGGAGAAGCTGGTCTAGAAGTCCCACACCATCATTCTGTGCTTTCACAATGGAGTCCTTACAACTTTTATTTCCCTCTCATACTCATGTGGTGACCGGTGCTTTTTCTCCCCACTTTTGTTTCTTTTCAGGAGACCATCGTTTCATGATGAACAACTACAGTGACTGGAACCAGCCAGATAGCCTGAAGAGGTTTTCCATGTTCTTGACTCCAAAAGGTATGAAGCAGAGTTGAGTCAGAATGACACAGGTGGCAAAACGGTTGGCCTTTGACCCAAACTAGCCCACAAGTGTGAAAACTTTCATCGACAGTGAAAGATTTAATCTCATGGTCTTGGCTATCTTGTTCTTCTGCATCAGAACAAGACGAGCAAGGATTAACATCCTTACCTTCATGCGGCTGCTGTCCCGTTTCCCAATTATCACACATTGAGCTGAAGTGGAAAAAAGTTCCAGTGTGGCTAGGACTTGAGCCTTTAATAAGTGTGAAGGAGAAATTCAGTTGGTTCAAAAGGCTGGTGCAAAATAACCTAGTTTCTTTCACTTTTAAATCAATATGCAGAGGAAAACTGAGTTATCCTTAAACATTTACACGAATCTAACTTTGCAACAGACATCTCCAATGTATTTTTTTAAAAAATGCATGCGAAATGTTTGTAGTGCAAAAACCAGAACTTGGAAAAGTTAATTCTGAGATTTGATCCAGTCTCGCCTTTGGTCCAACACTAGGATGGTGTGGGTCGTGATGGTTTGAGGTTGGAAAGTTGGTGAGCTGGGATAAAACAGCTCCCATCCACACCTTGGTCAAAGGCGGGGCAGGGGAGCTTGTAAAGAGAGATGACATTTGGTACAATTACCATGTGGACACCCCATAAATCTGATCCTATAGGGGAGTGGAAAGGATTGGACTAAGCCGCAGTGGGGCCCAATAAGAGCAAGGGCTGTAAGAGAAGAATGAAAGCAATGTTGCAGCCACTTGAACATTTAACAAGATGGTCATTTTTAAAATTAACTTGCTGATTTCCAATCAAGCGGTGAATTGAAAGAATCTTCTCATTACTAGGTGCATTTTGTTCTAGTGCAGAAATGAAGAAGCCTGCCCTTCCTGATCTCTCTGGAGGACGGTTGTGGTGCAAAGACCAGGCTATACATACTTTAAATAGACACTTGCATTTCTTTGGAAATTTCCATTTCCTTCCATTCTCCGCCAAGGAGCATCTTAACCTGCTCACAGCCTCTCTTTCCCACGGCCCGAGTCTCAAGAGGCCCAAGATATATTAGATGGGAGATAATAGATCCGAGACATGAACCATGAGTGGGCAAATGAATGTAACTAACAGCCACTCAGGGGGAGTTTTGGCCCATTCAGCTCAAAACTCCCTCTGGCACAATAAGAGCGAGGGAGAGAACATTTTGTTCACATCCTCTGCGGACCGAGCGCCTTCCTTGCTTAGTCAAGTCAGTTATCTTATTCTTGGCCTCCCACCTGGTAGCCGAGGGATTGTTTTGATGTAGCGTGAGGTGGGTCCTCAACCTGTCTCCTTTGATGGATGCCAACTCATTTCCAAACTGGATTCCCTTGTTCTAGGTGGCAACTACAACTCCAGAGCGTGGGAATTTTCTGCCATGCAGACTGCCGCAGAGGAGTCGCTGACGACAGCTAACTCGGCGTTCTCCTTGAAAGGTACTCTCAGCAACTTTGGTTGGAAAGAGGGATGCCTCATTGTTCCACCTCATCCCAACCATTTCTTTTTACCACCTTGATCCTGTTCCTACGTCTGGGGTCCCTGCTCAGTTGCAGAGCATCTGATGTATTTGCAGAAGGCCCCTTTTCCACATTTTGCCATTTTTTAAAAGTTAAGGATCTTCTGGAGAAGATCTCTCTGGGGTGGGGTGGAACAGCACGGGATCAGTGTCCAGCTTCAGAAAACAGGAACAGAGCTTGGAAAAATGGCCTCCTTTTCCCTGGAAGGGGGATTCCGGGAGGTTTGGCCCAAGTAACCCTTTCAAAGCTCTGATCTGGGCTGGATTTCTTTTTTTAAAAAAAGTCAATACGTACATGAGAAATTTACATCCGAAGAGCTGGAAGACCAGCATAATGAATAAGAAGTGTCCATAGCAAATCCAGCCAGTCATGTTCAGGCAGAGTTATTAATATAAAGAAAAGAAAAAACAGCCTGCCTAAATGAAAATGTAATTACATTTTCACTCTTGAATCAATTAGGGATACCTGTTGTTCTCTAGTAATGAGTATGGCTCAATTCTGCCTTGAACATTTTTGTCCCACAATATCACAAGAGGCTCAGCCGTTTCCTTGCTCAGTGATCTGTTCTGCTTGCTGTCTTTCTGTCCTTCTTCTCATGAAGTGTGTTGAGTTTGATGCTAGTTCCTTTTTTATAAATTCACACCCTTCTTAAATTGAAGGAAGCCTTGATCTTTAGAAGAAAAGACATGCTGTCACTTTGCTGTCTTCACGGTTGAGCGTTCCTGAAAAATAACATGCCTCGGTTTGCAGATCTCCGGATGCATTTCATCACAGATTATATGTGTTGGAACCCAACACAGTGGAGGGGCACCAGATGCCCAAATACTGCCTTGACACATCCTTGAAACCCAGAGCATTAAAAAGTTACTTTTTGAATGCCAACTTCCAGAATCTTCCAGGGCATTTTTGGAGTTGGAGTCCAAAAAAGTAACTTTTCCAAGTTCAAGCCAAAGACTCTAAAATAATTAGGTTTTTTTTTTCTGATGGAACTCAAGTGAACAAGTGCTCAGACTAAGGACCAACCAATACATTGAAGAGCCCATGTGATCAGAAAGGGCAATCCTTAACTGGAAGTTGAGTCATGGCAACTGGACTTCTTTCTGGTTAGGCTGAAATGTTTCACTACTCATCCAAGCAGCTTCTTCAGTCTATTTGGATGAGTAGCAAAATGTTTCAATCAAACAGGAAAGAAGTCCATTTGCCATGACTCAACTTCCAGATAGCCACACTATCAGATGACTGAGAATCTTCACAGATATACAGCACCCCTTAAGTGCCCCAAATGTAGTCTGATCATTGCTACAGACATTTGATGCATTCCTGTGGTCTTCAGCTCAGCTGGCTTTGTGTTGGACTGGTCTTCATGATGTCATAGGCTTTGTCTGAAAATCTGATCTCTTGGACACAAAACTCTTCCGGAATGAAGTCTCTGGAAGACATTCATCACATGTAGTTTGGCCGTCTGCTGAGCCCTGCAGTACTCCTTAGGTTAATTCTTCCTCCAAATTCTGCTGGGAAGGACAGGGATTCTAAGGGGCAGCCCCCCGTCTCCTTTCCATAAGCTCCTGTTAGGCTTGCTCAGGCAGTAAAGCCCAGTGGAGTGTCGGCACCTTCCAGGAGAGGTTGCTGGGCCCTCCATGAAACCCAATTTGGGAGTGGTATTCTTTCCATAGAATACCGCATTGGACCTTTGGGTTCAGGGATTATACATTTGAGTGGTGTTTGTTTGTGTGTGTGATAGAGAGATGAGATGAGCTTCAATCAGCAGCTTGTGTGTGAGATGAGAGAGAGATGAGATGAGCTTCAATCAGCAGCACCGTTTGCCCTTTATGTTCTACTGGTGCCACTGTACTTTGGGATTCATTCATTCATTCCATCCATCAGTCATTCAAACTGTCACCCAACCTTTCCACCAAAGAGACTCAAGGCAGCTCACACCTTTTTTTAAAAAATCAAGGACACCTACATAAATGAACATAGATGAGAGAGAGATGAGATGAGCTTCAATCAGCAGCACCGTTTGCCCTTTATGTTCTACTGGTGCCACTGTACTTTGGGATTCATTCATTCATTCCATCCATCAGTCATTCAAACTGTCACCCAACCTTTCCACCAAAGAGACTCAAGGCAGCTCACACCTTTTTTTAAAAAATCAAGGACACCTACATAAATGAACATTGAATGTGTTACAATATTAAATGTGTCAATTGCTAAATTGGCAGTCTTAAGCTAGCAGGACCAGCAGTCTGAAGCAAGTGTTAAGGCAACGTTTTAAGACCAGCTAGACATGGAGACTATAAGCAGGCTGGTCCTCCCTTCATGGCATGGAATTACAATGAAGGGGTTGCTTCTCTTCTTTAAAGGCGTAGCAGTAGGAGCCATCCAGATGTTGAAATTCTCTAGTCCTCCTGAAGGTGGAGTCAAACTTTGGGGTTCACCTTTCACTTCCTTTTCATGAGCTTTTTTTGCTCTGATACAAACCATGAGACAGATCTTCATTTTCCATCTGGAGCTTGTTAGATTGAGAAAAGTGTAAACCTTCCATGTCCCATTCATCTTGCACCTGTGTGATGTGTTCAGATGTTCATCTCAACTTGTGCAGACCAAGGAGCGGAAGGGTACACATGGACTTCATATGTGCTTTTGGGACAACATCTGAAAGAGGCAAGGGATACAAGCCATATGAACTCTACACAGAGAATAGACATGTACGCTCTGTCTGTGCTCTTGGGGAGCTCTGCTTAATCAAAACTCTCCAGCAGAAGAGACAGAGCTTTCTCAAGTGAACTTCATGCTTTATGTCCAAAAGGGGTCCAGAATTTGTAGCTGCAGATGACATTCAGATGACTGTCTGAAGGCCACAATGGAAGCACCACATAGTCTGAAGACTCTCTGCTCATGGGGGAGGCTGCAGACACCCATCGCTCTACGTTCTTGTGTTACCTCTTACCAAAAGTTACTTTCGTCTTCAGCAAAGATGAATTGCCACAAAATGCACTCCTAGGGTAGAGTAAACCAGACTGTGATGTGTGAAGAGGTCTATAAATATAAATCAGCCAGAAAGGGAAAGAAAGAGGTAGACAGAGAGGATGTAATTCGACCACCTACACAGCTCGGTGTGCTATAAAAATTCCTATCAAAAGTTGTAAGTCTGTGTCAGCCAGTTATGGTAAAAATAGAAATTAAGTCTGTCATCTGATTAAAGAAGGCTTAAAAGATTGCTCATGCAAGGTTAAAATAAATTCATTGATAACTGGTTGATTAAATGTGCATATAATTTCTTATGAATATGAATAGGGGTTCTGAAGGAAGACACATACTTCCTTTATTTTGAGAGGACGATAATGATTTCAAGGATGTTGTCTGTCCGACTGATCGAGAACATTTTTTACACGACTGAAGAGGTTTAAAGGGCATTAGTGTAGCCAGCTAACCGATTACATCTGCAACCCCAGCAGCAGACATTTTTGCAGGATCGGGGAAGGATGTGCTCATTTTGGGACACTAGAACATTTGAGGAGAACTTGGCATCTGGTTTTTACAGTGGTGGAAGCCACAGCACCGGGTAGGACTTGATCTCCGCTGTCTTCCTGATTTCTTTGGAGTTCTTATGACTTCCAATGCTGCTTTCATCAAAGAAGCAGAAATGTATTTGATCTTTCTGCTTCCTATCAGTTCCCATTAGGAGAAGGGGCGCGTGTGCCTTGTGGTCTCCCCCAAGATTGGAATGGACGGATCCTGCTGATATGCCAAGGGTGGGATCCGTTGCTGTTCCCATGGTCTGCAGTCTTGGGATCAGGCCAGACACAAGCGAAAGATGGAGAAACACTGGCACAGCGTTCTACCCCACCGCAAGTTAATGTCGCTTCTTCTATTTCCCAGTAGGCAATGGAACCAAGGTGCCTTATCAGTTCCCCTCAATTGGCCAGAGTTCACCCGGAGATTTCAGCAAGCAGTCTGATGGGAGCCTCTATACTAAGAATGGTACTTCAGGGCTCCTTCGAGTTCCTTTCTGCTCCCTCTCTCCTCCTTTTCTCTCTTTTCCCCTTGGGAGTGTACTCTTTCCAAATACCTCTGCCTGCCTTGGTGGTGTCTTGGGACTCCTGTGCCTTACTAACTTGGAGACGGATAAAATAATATGGATCTCCTACATTTAAATAAGGTATCTCTTGCTCTCTCCTTCTGGAATGCACTTGGCTGCATGCAATGGAGGCTGTTGTAGGAAGTAACCACAGGTGCCTTCTGTCTCCCCCAGCGTACCCCTCAATAGTGAGGCACCAAGCTGCTAAAGCACAGCCCCAGACATGGAAGTCTTCCAAGCAGAGCATGCTGGTAAGTTCTCGACATCTGCACTGACTTTCCATGCCTTCCATGAGAACAACTTCTAGGCTGTTTCTGAAATGTTGGAGAAGCATGGGAAGCTTGTGCTTGGAGTACGCAGCGAAGACCATTTCAGGCAGAAAAGAAAAGAAAATATTATAGGGACTCCATCTAACACAGTGGTTGCCAACCTTGGGTCCCCAGATGTTCTTGGGCTACAACTCCCAGAAATCTTCACCAACGCAGCTACTGGTGGAGGCTTCTGGGAGTTTTAGTCCAATAACTTTTGGGGACCCAAGACTGGGAACCAGGGGTCAAGCAATAGGGTTGGGATGCTGTGGCTAGCTGTGTACTTAAGAGAAAGAGGAAAAAGAGAAAGAGAAGGAGAGAGAGAGAGAGAAGGAGAGGGAGAGAGAGCAGACCTGAGAGAAGAAGGAAGCAAAGTAATTTTGAACCAGATTAGTTAAGAGGGGAAAAACAAGAGGTAACCCCAGCCGTCTGTTTTCAACAGTAATGCCCTGTATAGGAACATAATCTCAGTGCAAACAGAGCCCCACTCTACTTTCAACAAAGTATACCTCCTGTCTCAGACCTCTTCTAGACTGGGTTCACAACTGGATGTTGCTAAGTCAATTCTGGCCTCCCAGGGCCAATCTAGATGGAATGGCTGTACAGTGGTGCCTCGCTTGATGACGTTAATCCGTTCCAGCAAAATCACTGTTAAACGAAATCGTCATCAAGCGAATTTTAAAAACCCATTGAAATGCATTGAAAACCCTTCAATGCATTCCAATGGGCTAAATACCTCATCGTAAAGCAAAGACCCTCCATAGGGTGGCCATTTTCCAGTGCCTGTTTAGTGAGGATTCTGTCCTAAAACACAGCGGGGAGCCATTTTGCACAGCAGGCAGCCATTTTAGAGCCGCCGATCAGCTGTTTGAAAATCATCATCTAGCGAAAAATTGGTTCTTGAAGCAGGGAACCAATCATCATGAAGCAAATTTTTTCCTATTAGAACATCGTTTTGCAATCGAAAAAGTGATCGCAAAAACCTGATCATCAAGCAGTTTCATCGTTTAATCGTTAAGCGAGGCACCAATTGTATATTCTTGATAGCAGGCCACTGTAGGCAGAGCGGCTGCTGCTACTCTATGATTGAACTCTTCTCCTAGTGGGTCTTAATGAGAAGCAAACATCAAACAGGTTCTCCAGCAGATGGAACAACAGTGACAAGTGGAATATGTTTGTCACTCATTCTTACCCTGTTATGGCTCTTTTTTAAAAAAAAAAAATGCATCACTCATGCATCCACAAGGGAGGAAAAGCTTAGAGCATGAGTACTTCGAGGACTTCGGGATTTTGAGAAAGTGATTAAAGAGGATCAGGGAAAGAGATAGTGGCTAAGCTCTATTGATGAGGGAGGATCTTGATTGTTAGTTGGTGATTCTTAAAGAAAAAGATAACACCAGAAATAATTAACCGCATGGCCTCTACAGAGACAGAATAAAGGTGGCTTGCGAACGGTGCCATGTTTGGATCTCAAGGGGAGTGGGGCAGTTTGGCTGACACTTTTTATAATAACAATCTAATAACTCTGATTCACTTGTGGCATGTGTGCATGAATGCCTCTGAACCTCTCCAGACTCCTCATGGTCTCTTTTCAGCCTACTTTCATCACCATCTCACCTGATAATGGCTGGTAGGGCTGACCACTAAAGAGAAGGAAGGACTCAACGATATGTTCCCCACCCACCCCCACTGCTGTCCTCTTTCTCCTTCTCCACTTTAGCTCCCTTATTAAGCTGCCCTCTTAGGAAAAAGCGCAAGAAGCTGTCTCATACTCAGCCCAGTCTGTTGGTCACCCTGACCTACTACGGTCTATGTGGACTTGCAGCAGTGATTCCATGATTTGGGGAGAAACGTCTTTTTAGCCCTACCTGGAGATGCCTGGCATTGAGCCTGGGATCTTCTTCATCCAACCCACGGGCTGCACCACTGAGATCCACAAACTTCCTAAAATGCCTACCATCGTACAAACGGCCGAAAAGGACCACCAGCGTATTCTTGGGTGGGTAGGACTGTGAGACTGGAGGGTTCAATGCCTATAGAGTGGTGAATATGAAAGTATTCATGTTGAGCCTTGAACAGCACAGGCTGTTTGGGAGATAGAATTCAGCACATCGGACAGCTCCTGCAAAAGGATGAGCTAAAACCCAGAGCCTTCAGCTTCCAGTGGGTTAGAAATCTCCCATCCAGGTGCTAAATGGTGTGACAAACCCAGACCTACTGGGATCTATCACACAGTTACTAAGCTGCCACCAACCATTCCCTATAATAAGTCACACAGACCAGGGATGGATTTTTAAACAATTAAAAGAATAAGGTTTATTTTAAATACAAACAGGGTAAATAAAACAATCAGGTGAATAAAATAAAGTAACGTGGCTTATTCTCACACACACAAGCATACAGTTTGGTTCACCTAGAACCTTTAACTTAAAGCACAGACCCTGAACCCATCAGTTCTGGCTAACCCACAGACACCTGAACTTATCAGGTTGGTACTCTGACACACAGTAGTACCCTGTCAGACACCCAGACTCCCACAACAGCTTCTTCTTCCCCAGCTGCTGCTTAGTCCCAACCCAGTGTCTCACAGTCTGTCTCAGCATCTACTCTTCACCACACAGGCATCACATATTTATACAGTACAGCCCCTCCTCCTGATGTCCCGCCTTCCACTCCCCATAGGATGGAACTTTCCCTCCAAACCCATGACAGACAGGTAACATCAGTGCTGTTATGTAACACCTCCCCTCTTTAAAAGTTGTTTTGTAGGGGGAAAGCTAAAAGTGCTTTTCACCAAAAAAACAACCTGCATAAAATACACAACAACATTTATACATACCATATAATACTTACATATACTTACACTCCAAGTTAACCATAGCAAATATGCATTTAAACATTTTACCATATACAGTACATCAATTTACCTTTATTAATACCAACCAAATTCAAAACCAGGTACATTTAACTTTTGTCATCATTATATACACATAGTCCATGTTCTTTCGCCGTCTTCAGTCTTCAGGTCTTCTTGATAAGGCGTCAGCAACACAGTTCACTGACCCTCTGACCACCTTCACTTCAAAGTCATAGTCCTGTAAGTTCAAAGCCCACCTCATAAGTTTGCTATTGTGGGTTTTCATTGTCTTTAACCATTGCAATGGTGAATGGTCAGTACACAGAATAAAATGTCTTCCCCAGATGTAAGGCTTGGCCTTCTGGATCGCGTAGACTATGGCCAAACACTCCTTCTCCACGGTTGCCAAATGTCTCTCACCTTTTTGAAGTTTCCTACTCAGGTAGGACACTGGATGCTGGTCACCATTCTCATCCTCCTGGCACAGAACTGCTCCTACCCCGCTGTTAGACGCATCGGTGTAGATGATAAACTCCCGGTCGAAGTCTGGAGCACGCAGGACAGGATAGTTGATTAACGCCTCCTTCAACCTCTGGAACGCCGCCTCACAGTCGCTGGTCCACGGGATGCGGTCATCAGCCGTCTTCCTCGTCAGATCGGTCAGCGGAGCCGCAATCTCGCTAAACCTCGGGATGAACTTTCTGTAGTAGCCCACCAACCCAAGAAAATTGTATATTCTTGATAGCAGGCCACTGTAGGCAGAGCGGCTGCTGCTACTCTATGATTGAACTCTTCTCCTAGTGGGTCTTAATGAGAAGCAAACATCAAACAGGTTCTCCAGCAGATGGAACAACAGTGACAAGTGGAATATGTTTGTCACTCATTCTTACCCTGTTATGGCTCTTTTTTAAAAAAAAAAAATGCATCACTCATGCATCCACAAGGGAGGAAAAGCTTAGAGCATGAGTACTTCGAGGACTTCGGGATTTTGAGAAAGTGATTAAAGAGGATCAGGGAAAGAGATAGTGGCTAAGCTCTATTGATGAGGGAGGATCTTGATTGTTAGTTGGTGATCCTTAAGGAAAAAGATAACACCAGAAATAATTAACCGCATGGCCTCTACAGAGACAGAATAAAGGTGGCTTGCGAACGGTGCCATGTTTGGATCTCAAGGGGAGTGGGGCAGTTTGGCTGACACTTTTTATAATAACAATCTAATAACTCTGATTCACTTGTGGCATGTGTGCATGAATGCCTCTGAACCTCTCCAGACTCCTCATGGTCTCTTTTCAGCCTACTTTCATCACCATCTCACCTGATAATGGCTGGTAGGGCTGACCACTAAAGAGAAGGAAGGACTCAACGATATGTTCGCCACCCACCCCCACTGCTGTCCTCTTTCTCCTTCTCCACTTTAGCTCCCTTATTAAGCTGCCCTCTTAGGAAAAAGCGCAAGAAGCTGTCTCATACTCAGCCCAGTCTGTTGGTCACCCTGACCTACTACGGTCTATGTGGACTTGCAGCAGTGATTCCATGATTTGGGGAGAAACGTCTTTTTAGCCCTACCTGGAGATGCCTGGCATTGAGCCTGGGATCTTCTTCATCCAACCCACGGGCTGCACCACTGAGATCCACAAACTTCCTAAAATGCCTACCATCGTACAAACTTCCTAAAATGCCTACCATCGTATTCTTGGGTGGGTAGGACTGTGAGACTGGAGGGTTCAATGCCTATAGAGTGGTGAATATGAAAGTATTCATGTTGAGCCTTGAACAGCACAGGCTGTTTGGGAGATAGAATTCAGCACATCGGACAGCTCCTGCAAAAGGATGAGCTAAAACCCAGAGCCTTCAGCTTCCAGTGGGTTAGAAATCTCCCATCCAGGTGCTAAATGGATCAACCTCCCATGTCCCAATGGGCTTGGGTATATTCAGGATATCATGTGTGTGTGTTAGCAAACCAATCTTCAGGCTATCATGCTTTTACCAGGGCCATTTTTTTACCTAGATTGAGTATGGCAGCCGTAAATCTTATTTTATGGAAGACATTTCTCAGTTGAAAGCCCCATCCAGTTCATATTGTGTTTAAAGAAATGCCTAGAGTAGGTACGGTGGCCATGCACCCTCTTTTATGGAGGACAGTTCTTTGTGTGACCCGTGTCATCTTTTTTCCATTAGAAGAGCATGTAGGAAACGTCCCACCTAAATGTGACCGTATTGTCCAGGAGAATATGGGAGGTGGAGTTCAAGGAAGTAACTTCTCCAAGCTCTGGTCCATAGCCAAAAGGGCTGTGCAGTCCTTAAACTGCATTGGTATTCATCAAAAGAAACAATGCAAACAGACTGATAAATAAAGAGCATTTAAAGTCCCAGAAGAGATGCAATTCGGCTGGACTGCAGAGTCTTGTCAGGAGCTTTTATGGTCTGTTGGGCCAGCAATCCAGCTTTAAAAGCTGCTTTAAATATGTGTTTGAGCAATCCATGTTTCCTTACGGACAGGTCCGTAACTATGAATTCTAGCCATCAGCTGTGCAGCTTTCAGGGCTCCTGTCCTACCAGTCCATTGAGGGTTATTTAAAGGGTAGCTTATTTCCCCCTTTAATTAGGGACAAAATTGGTGCTGTAAAATAAATGGGTTTTAATACTCCAGCAATGCTGAGCAGGAAATGCTTGGAAGAAGACAGAAAGCAGAATGAAATGGGCAGGTGGCTCTTTGCTACCATCTCTTAGCAGAACCATCACTACCAAGAGTGTAAATCTATTTAACCTGATGGGTTAACAAGGGTGTTGCTAATCCTTACCATCTCTCCATCTTTCTCCTGGAGTAGAAATTTGCAAAAGCAAAAGTCCCTTATGCAAGTGTAATTGAATTATTTCACAGTATAAGAACCCAATTTCAGAATGATCAGAGTTAGAAAATGCTTTGGCGAGGGGGGGGGAGAGTCAAGATTGGACTATGACTGCTATAGTCTTACAATTATCCAGTTGAGTTCTTGGAGTTGTTGTCCAGAAGACAAATCCTTGCTAACTTGCAGATTGATTGGTCACAAGATAACTGAACTTGGGGGTCAACAGCAATATAATAATTATTAACAATAACAGCAACATGATTTTGCCTTTCCACAGTAGATTTCCAGTTTTGGGCTCTCCAGGTGTTGTGCACCTCAAGTCCTCAAAGATCAGTCAAAGTGGCCAATAAATTAGGGGTTATTGGGAGCCAAGTGGAAAACAAGTCAAAAACGGAGAACCTTTTTCTTAAAGCACTTGCAGTGTATATTTTTCCATCTGGAAAACCAACAGCCGGTATCCTGTTCATTACTTACCCATGTATTGAGCTCCAGTTATGGAAGTTGCCACAGTAAGCTGCTGAAGCGCCAGTCTTTAATAACCAGGCACAGAACCATCACCGTTGGTCCAGATAGGTGGGATAAAAATCAAATAAATAAATAAATAAATAAATATTGATACAGCAGCTTCTCCAGCTGGGGCTTACGGCACATAAATACGGAATAGCACGCCAGCCAAGGAACAGGAGGTCACTGTGGACCAGCGTATTGATGAATAGCAGAGCACATATGTTTCAAAATGGTGAAAAGGTAGAACACAGAAGATCTGAGTTTTTTTAAAAAAAATCAATACAAAATAAAGTCTAATACATGTATACTATCAAATCCACACTGAAAAGAAATTTCCTTCCCTTGAGCTGAGGAGAGCGAGAGCATGACAAAAGCATTTAAATCACAGGATGAACATCACTGCTTCATCCTTCAACTGTTTTGGAATCCAGCATCAAAAATATGGATTTTTCAAATCCATGTTAAGCAGAAAGTCTGCTTTGAATAAGCAGAAAGTCTCCCTTGACAGGCTCCTGTGGGTAGCCATTGTATATGTGTGTGTATGTATCTATGTAGGTATTAAGTAAATTATACTGCAACTTGATCACAGAGGATGAGAACGGGGACAGTCCCATGGAAGCTTCCAGGTACCTCTCAATGATACAATGGAAAATGGTCTTTAAGGATGTTCAGCAAGGGGAGATAAAGGGATTAATGACTGAAGATGCAGGGTTGGGGTTACTCAGCACTGTATCCACACTAGCGGAAGCCAGTAGCATCCTAACACATGACCTGCCTTCTCCCCCTGCAGTCCCACTACCGCCCTTTCTACGTCAACAAGGGCAACGGAGTCTCTTCCAATGAAGCGCCGTGATCCTCAAGATTCCCAGGAGCAGCCGGTCGTGGGACGAGATGAGGATGCACAGACGAGAATTTTCCCGGATGCTTCTGCTCTATCGCTAGCCATGATGTGTTCTAACCTTGTTTTGTTTTGTTTTNGGGGGGGGGGAGAGAAGATGTTCAGGGTGGGACAGAAGAGGTAGGAGCCAATGTCCCATTCTGGTGGAGAGGTGAAGATTGTCCTTCAGCTTAGGTTGACCTTAGGCACCCTCTTGCTATTTTTGGTAAAAGCTTTGCAGATGCCAAAAGTCCAATCCCAGATCTGGAGGCTGGACAGTGGACTTTTTGGGTCTTCAGTTCCCAGAATCCCCCAGCCAGTGGGGTCACCGAAGGATTCTGGGTTTTATTACCCCTCCCAACAAATTACAAGCCCTGCTCAGGTCTAGAATGTCTTTCTTTTTCCCCACCTTTCTGCTTAGCTCTTTCTACTTATCCACTGGATGAAATGAATCTCAGGGGGCAACCCATCTCCTTCTTATCCTACAATGGCAGGATCAAGGCAGCAGTGTTTTTAAGACACCTGCCTTTTCTTCCTTGAACCAACCAGCTATTGCTCACCCCATCAACTCTGACACCGAGGTGGTTTTAGGGTGGCCCATGCGTTAACCCCCCCCCGACAGTTTTCCAACATTGGGGAGGGGAAAACCCATAAAATGTTCCTCATTCTTTATTTGCCAAGAGTCAAGTCGAGCCCAATGGCTCCCTGGTAGCCCTTCCACCCCTCCTCTCTCTCTCTCTCTCTCTCTGCCTCCAGCCACCCTCTTAAATATAAATTAGGGGTTGAAATCTATCCAGCTAATAGAAGATTGATTAGATGTCTCTGCTTCTCCTTCAGCTACACAACTCGTGGCTGATATGTTTTGGTTCATTTGTTTTGTTTTATCTAGAAGAAGGATGATCTGGGAATTTTGAGCCTGAAGCTTATAAGGTTGCAAAGAGATTGCCCCTGTGTGCGTGCACATGTGTGTTAAGTGCGTGCATGGAGAGGACACTTACGAGTCTGTTGGGCTGCAGACTACCAGACATGGCGAGGCTTTCAAGAGAAATTGAGAGAACCACCTGGCAGATATCCTTTGCTTTGTATTCCTGCATTGAGCAGGGAGTTGGACTCGATGGGCTTATAGGCCCCTTCCAACTTCATGATTCTATGAGGCAGCTGCTGCTTGTGCCCATGGAGAATAAGTACAGCTGCCCTGGCTACCATTTTGAAATGGTACACGCTTTTAAGAGTCCCTGGAAGTTTCTGAGAGCTACATGCTCCAGTATTCTCAACAGAGGGTGGAGATTAGGGCAGTCCCAAGCCAACCTGATGCCTGAGATCAAGGCAAACTGGTAGCCCCTTCCCCCTTCATGGACCAAAGCCAACTGGATTGGCAAGTAAATCGTCCTTCCCTCCTGCCAACAGGATAGTGGCCTCAACGGCACTTGAGAACAACAGGCTAAGTTTGGGTGGTGCAGGACGGGGGAGCCAAGGGATGGAGGAGATATGCGTTGGGGCCACCACGCTGTCGCCCAGTATCTGCTGCCTGTGCTGGAGTTGGCACCACTCTGTCTAAGGATAGGGCCGGCCCTGTTGGGGACAAAGAGCCTCTTCCATGGAAGGGCTTTCTGTCTAGGAAAGCTAAATGGTGGAGGAGCAAAGTAAATATCCCTTCTTGTCCCGAAACTAATTATCTCTCCTCTCCTTGCCTCGCTTTCAAATTAAAAAGAAAATGGTTGTAAATATAAACACATGCATATATACACAACTTGACAAACGGGAGGTCACATCTATTGAATGCTGAAAAATGCTTTGCAACTCATCTCTCTTTCTTTGCGAGAAAGCCCCACACTATAGCCTGCTTTTCCTACATTGCACTGTAATGCTGCCGACTTTAAAACGTCATATACCCACCTCCTTCTTTAGCATTGTGTCTCTAGGTAAACAAGCTAAAGCAGATCTGAAGTGGCGGGTGAACCGGGAAAACATTTGCTTTGAACATTTTCTGTTGCTGATGTGTGTTTTTTTTGGGGGGGTTGCTTTGTTTTTAAATGCAGGGAAGGGAAAGAGTTTAAATACATGATAAGACAGGTGTGCCCATAACTTGCAGAAAGGGTAACGGTAAATCTGAAAATAGGGGAACGCTTCTGAGATGAGCAGTTTCTGACGCAGTTCATTGCTCTTCTCCGAAAGATACCTAGGGGGGAAATTACTCTATAACTTCCCAAAGCTATTATTGAATGGCTGTCTATCCTTGCCCAATGTCATTCCCAAATGGAGGTTCTACCTGCTCTGCCATTTCTCATATTGGGGGGTGGGTGGGTGAAAAGGGTTTTCTGTTAAAAACAAGCTGGAGACAGAGAGGCCATTAATACTTAGCAGGCCAGCTTGCTGGATCTCATGATAGTGGGCTGCTCATTTGTCTTGTTTTGTAACTACACTGTGCTTTTTTTTTTTTGGTCATATGTACAAAAAAGGCACAAGTCTGTTGCTTTGCCAGGTGTTGAGAAATCCATACAGCCTAAAATAGGAGAACAGAGAAGAGAAAGGCCAGATGGAGAAGTCTTTCTAAGAAGACACTTCCAGGTTACAAAATGGTCACTGATTCCATGCATCTCTTCCTTTCTGGAGAGCTGGTTCTCGGTCATTCATAATCCTGGCTCTCCCTGAAACCACGTCAGCCTTCCTTTGTGTGAAGGAGAGCCTAAAGGAACACACAAACATGTGTACAGGTGTTTTCACTACTAGTGAGAGAATGGACACTCAAATAACAGCCTTCTTGGGGTGTGTGTGAATTCTTACCCTTATATCATTACTTCTACACGATTGTGCAGGTAAATATATTTCTGGCCAGGAAGTCTTCATTGGAATAGACAATCAGAAAAGGTTGTGCTGTTATGGGTTTCTTTGTCATCACACTTTTCAGAGTAAAAAAAAAAAACATATTTCAATGTCCATTTGTTGCTGCTTGTTGTCTGAAAACCATCAAGCATGTGCAATATGTCTGATCGCATCTGTTGATCATCTTGCTTAAATACATTGGTTTAACCTTCAAGGGATTTGATCTTCTGCAAGCAGCTCAGTGTTATTCTTGCAACTGACCTCTTGCAAAAGTCATCTTGCTTATTCCAAAACTTTTTTCAAAAAGAAAAAAGAAAGGAAGGGAAAAAAATTAAGCATGTTAAAATGTTTCAGGTGAGAATCTGCGGGGGGGGGACATAAAACAAAATTTTAAAAAACAAATATTTAAAAAAGAGAATATTTGAATTTGGTGCGGCAATAAATCAGCCTTTAGAGAGTCTGTTCTCCCCAAAAGATCAAGGGATTGGCGTGCTTCTCATTTCACCACCAACCTCCACTTCCTGAATATTGGGGAAATCCAATAATTTCCCTCTTTCACGAAATTTGTGCATAAGTGCAACTGGACTTGCTTTCCAAAATGGTTCTGAATTCTTGGGCTGAGTCCCAGACTACATGCTATCAGGATAAAGACAAGTCCACAGAGCATGTACAGGGAGCTGCCTTTATCTCACCATTGATAAAGGCCCTCTGGGATTAGGGGGCAAAGCATCTCTGCAAAAGGGGGTGGCTTCCAGCAACTCTCTGTTCTTTTCATGGTTGCAAAAGGAAGGGTGTTGAAATCCACAGACGTAGGGAAAGACCCACAAACAAACTTAACTAAGGTGGAGTAACTGCTGTCCAGACTCTTAATTCCCGTTTCTGGATGCAGCCACATCCAGAAGCTTTCAGGACAGTTGGGTACAGGTTTCAAACCCTCTCTCACAAGACGATGTTTATTGCCTTACAAGTTTTGCTCTCAAAGATTTTTTTTACCTTTGTCCTTGACAGCAGAATGTTAGAATAAAAATGTATACAGTATTAAAGTCCTTCCTTCCTTCCTTCCTTCCTT